GGCAGAGAGAACAATAGAAAAATAACTGATTAATATCAGGCTACTTCTTTTGTGTAAAGATTAAAGCAGAGGGAACTTCATTATCATGCCCATTAAAGATTTTTAAACCATGGCTCACGCCTGTAATCCTAGCTCTCTGGGAGGCCGAGGCGGGCGGATTGCTCGAGGTCAGGAGTTCGAAACCAGCCTGAGCAAGAGTGAGACCCCGTCTCTACTATAAATAGAAAGAAATTAATTGGCCAACTAATATATATACAAAAAATTAGCCGGGCATGGTGGCGCATGCCTGTAGTCCCAGCTACTCGGGAGGCTGAGGCAGGAGGATCGCTTGAGCCAGGAGTTTGAGGTTGCTGTGAGCTAGGCTGACGCCATGGCACTCACTCTAGCCTGGGCAACAAAGTGAGACTCTGTCTCAAAAAAAAAAAAGATTTTTAAACCAGCCTGTTTGGGAAACTGGCTGTTATCTGTGTCTGAATGTCAGACAACTTAGTTTGGGTTTGGTGACATTGAATTTTAGCATAGGTGACACCATTTTGATTTTTAGTCTGGTCTGTTGGGCCGTAGTGCAGAAGCTTAGTTTAAAATAATGGCCTCCTATAATTTTTAGTTGACACTGAGTACTATTTCTTTTTGTTTTCTGGAGACAGGTTTTACTCTGACCCCAGGTAGATCCGGGGTCTCACTCTTGCTCAGGCTGGTTTCGAACTCCTGACCTCGAGCAATCCGCCCGCCTCGGCCTCCCAGAGAGCTAGGATTACAGGCGTGAGCCATGGTTTAAAAATCTTTAATGGGCATGATAATGAAGTTCCCTCTGCTTTAATCTTTACACAAAAGAAGTAGCCTGATATTAATCAGTTATTTTTCTATTGTTCTCTCTGCCTGTCCCTGCCTTATAAATGACTAATACACTTTATTCCTTGCTTTTGCTTTTTTCAGCCCTTCTGTCTACAAAGCCAACCCCTTCTGCTCAGCTCATTAGAACACTTGTTCTATTCTAGAATCACAAAGCCAATTGAGATTTTAAAACTAAATTTGTTCTAATTTTGTCTTTTGACATCAAAGAGCACCAGATCATAGACCAATTTGGGTTTACCAGTTGCCCCCCTAGAAGCGGGGTCAGAACCAAGAGTGACTTACAAAGAAGTTTGGCTCCAAAGTGGAAAGAGAATATTGTTAAGCAGGAATGGGGATGGCAGGGGAACTCATAAAGGCTATAGCCCCCTCCAGTAGTGATGTGGTTTGGATGTTTGGCACCCCAAATCCCAGGTAGAAATTTGATCCCCAGTGTTGGAGGTGGAGCCTGGTGGGAGGGGTTTGGGTCATAAGGGTGGATCCCTTATGAATGGCTTGGTGCCCTCCCTGCCACAATGAGTGAGTTCTCCCTTTATTATTAATAGTTCATGCAAGAGCTGGTTGTTAAAAAGAGCCTGGGACCAGCTCCTCCCTCTCTCTTTGCTCCTCCTCCCACCATGTGACACACCTACTTCCCCTTCGCCTTCCGCCTTGACTGGAAGCTCCCTAAAGCCCTCACCAGAAGCAGATGCTGGTGCCACGCTTCTTGTACAGCCTGCAGAACTGTGAGCCAAATAAACCTCGTTTCTTTATAAATTACCCAGTCTTAGGCGATCCTCTGTAACAGCGCAAAATGGACTAAAATAAGTAGGGAAGCTGGTTTATCTAATTCTCTACATGTAAGAACAAATGGCCCAGAGGAGAAGATCCTTACAAGGTGGTGGTCCTCAAATTTTAGTCTGCACAAAAATCACCTCGGCAATTCACTAAAAATTCGGAATACTGGCTCCACCCTCCAGGTATTCACCACAGACAATCCTGATGGGTTTGTTGCCTGGAGCACACCTTGAAAAACACTACTGTGAGTGAGAAAGCAAAGCTAACCAGGCCTGACACAAGCAAGTGATGAAGTCACTGTCAGCTGGGGTTTTCATCAACAGCACTTCTGGTGTCACTTCTCAGGGAGAAATTGAAGTGGAAAAGGGTAGCCATAACGTGAAGTTACTGGATTCCTGCTTCTCCCCCCAAAAGGTCTTGTTCACAACAAAGCCAAATAATCAAAAACAAGAACAATGGATTGATTCTCTAAGTTGTTTTCAGTTTGTTTGTTTTGGTTCTGGCATTTTCAAACCATTGTCCATAAATGTAGGCTAGTGTGAAACACAGAAAAGAATGCTAGTGGCCTTGCAAACCCTAACCAGCAGGTCACCCTGAATGCCCATTAATTTGGCATCAGTGAGAATGTATTGCCCTTTCTATTGTCATGTGTTGCTACCAACCCTTCCCAAATAGAGCAAGTGGTCTGAAGTAGGTTTTTCCCAGTCCAGATCCATTTACATATATTGACCAAACATTACTTATATTGATTAAACATATATTGTCTGGCAAACACAGCTTGAGAGTCTGTGCAGTGGAACAAAGCAAGGCTCATTAACCCACATAGGGATTAAAATTTTATTTTATTTATTTTTGTCGGGCTCTTACGACTAAATAGGATTAAAATTTTAACTTCTTTAGCACCTTGCTCTAACCCAGTAAGATAATCAGAGCTTAGTAACATGCAGGTACATGCAAATTTGCTTGCAAATTTCTCTCCAACAGTCTTGTTTCCGCCCATAATGCTTAGAACTGAGTTAATATTGAAACCTTCAACAGGGCTGGTGGTCCTTTTGCCTTTTTCCCTATCTTCATCTTAACATGCTTGGTGGTCACAGACTGGCCTCATACTCAATCCCTTTGGTGAACCAGCTCTGGAGGTTAATAAAGAAACTTCCCTGTTACTTGGAGTCCTTAGGACCCCAGATTGCCACACGTCCGTTCATGTGATAGGATCTGCAGCCACTGCATAGAAAAAGTAGGGGTCTCACATCTTGCGTGTAAGAGCTTCCATCGCTATGAGTGACTATAACTTTAAAACATTCCTTGAAGTTAGTCTGAGACCAGGTGGGGTCTGTGTGTTGCTGAAGGAGCCAAGTGTATGGGCTCAATTTCTGAACAAGGCAGCTGCTGTACTACTGACAAGTGTACCCCCTGGCCTCAGCCAGCTTTTAGTAAACATGTCACAGGGATCTGACAAGAGAATCTAGATTCTATAGGACATACTCAACATCACTCTAGAAAAACAGCTCAAAGCAGGGAACCACTGATGTCAACAGAGGCATGTTCATATCTAGAAAGATAACATATTACTTCATGGCACGTCCTCCATTAGCAATGAAAATTTAGTTTGGATTACTACCTTTGGAAGATAGTTTCCCTTTATTCATTCATGTATTCATACATTGAATTGGAAATAAGTTTGGGGAGGTGAGAAGAGATTAGGGGATAAAGCCTTTAGAAGAATCAATTCAGCAGACACTTTACTGAACATCTATCGCGTACCTAGCACAACAGACATAGCTCCTACCCTCGTGGCACTTGCAGTCTGCTGGGAGAGAAAGTGTAGTCAGTCACGATGGATGTCCCTGATGGGTTAGTAGGGGCTCTGGTCAGGGCAGTCACTCAGGGCCATCAGCTGGTGGAGCAGCCACCATGTGGAATGTTGCTGTCACGAACCCAGAAGGAAGAGAATACAAGGAGGCACACACTGGCTCTGAAAGCTTCTGCCAAGAAGCGACACGGGCCACTTCCACTCACATTTCATTGACCAAAGCAAGAACAGAGACCCACCTAATTTCAAATGGGGAGGGAAATCCAATCCTACCATGTGCCTTGAAGGAGAGAGCCAGAACATTTGTGGGCACTAGTGGCTACAACAAGGCAGATAACACAAACGTAAACTGCAACAGCGACTAGTTCTGTAAAGGAGGGGAGAGTACACTGTGTTATGCTAAGTGCGCCTATAATGGGGAAGCTGACTCATCAGAGGGGGCAGAGAATCATCTGTCACTGCCCCAGCCCAGGAAGGGGCACTGAGGCCTGCAGGATGAGTAGGAGTTGACCAGGTGGGAAAGGGAAGGAAAGGCATTCGGACAGAGACAGAAAGGCAATGGGAAAAGTCCTGTGATGGAATTGGAGTTGGGGTGGGGAGGGAACAGAGAGAAAGAGACCCACATGGCTGGGAGGGTAGGGACCAGGGGAGGCTGTAGGGCCATAACATGCAGAGCCTTGTACTCTAGTCTTTATTCAAAGGGAAAAGCTGTTGAGAGTTTAGAGCAAGGGATGACAATCAGATCCTTATTTTAAATAGATCCCTTGAGCTATCATCTGGTGGGAAGGTAGGAACAGACCATTGAGGTGGGCTTGTACTGGCAAAGAGAGAAATGATAGGGACTAGATGGTGGCTGCTGGGATAGAGTGCACAGGTGATCCTGAGTTATATGTTTACTGGCTATTTAAGGTAAATGTCAATCTTTGTCTTAATTATACAGCCAATAATTGAATATTCTGTTTTCTGCATATATCTTAGAGTTTTTCATGCAATTAATATCATATTTAAGGCCGGGCGCGGTGGCTCACGCCTGTAATCCTAGCACTCTGGGAGCCGAGGCCGGCGGATTGCTCAAGGTCAGGAGTTCGAAACCAGCCTGAGCAAGAGCGAGACCCCGTCTCTACCATAAATAGAAAGAAATTAATTGGTCAACTAATATATATATAGAAAAAATTAGCTGGGCATGGTGGCGCATGCCTGTAGTCCCAGCTACTTGGGAAGCTGAGGCAGCAAGATTGCTTGAGCCCAGGAGTTTAAGGTTGCTGTGAGCTAGGCTGACGCCACGGCACTCACTCTAGCCTGGGCAACAAAGCAAGACTCTGTTTCAAAAAAAAAAATATCATATTTAAGATATCATTTTGGCACCTTAAACATTCAGGTCCAAAATGTAAACACATTTTATTTTAATTAAATAGTAAAGCTATCATTTTGCTAGCTTTACTATTTAATTAAAACTTGACTATGCCATAGAGAAAATTTGTGTTTTATTAATTAAGCACAAGAGCATGTGTTTAATTAGGCTTGAGTGGTGATTTTGTTTTTGCTTCCAGGTACTTACTATGGGAGGACAACTTTGTAGAAAGGACATCATCCAGCTAATAGCAAACTTGCTGGAACCCAATCCAAGATTTCCCTAAAAGACTCAAGGAAATAAACAGGTTATATTCATGAAGTTCAAATTGTATCTAAAGGGATACTCATTCTCAATATGTTTTTATCCTGATTAATCAAATCTTTAAAATAAATATTTTGGAAAATAAGCCAGATGAGCACTTGAGAGCAAAAGTAGTATCATTTAAATCAACCAGTTTGGAGACCATCTCTAAAGTAAGCATTTTTTGTTGTATTATTAATCATATATAAAAGATAACATACATTATCCTAATAGTCATATAACATATAGTCACATAATGTATATAACAAACAAAAATATATTGTACCTGCTGAAAGACAAGAAGTATCTCATATAAAAGTGCTGTAGCTGTATCTGTATATTCCAGGATAAGCTTCTGTAACTAGAATTTTCAAGAATAATCAATACAATATCATAGACTGAGATAGAAAATAGTAATTTCTCTTGATTCCCTTTAGGTACTTAGAATTTTTGGTTTAACTGCAAATATAATTAGTATAGTCGATTCTCCTGTTCCATTTGGTTCAATCATTCTCAAGAAAGTGGCTCTCATAAAAAGACTATACCTTTAATAGTGTTCCAAAGTGAGTCAAGAAAAGAAAATACAATGGACCACAGAATACTAACACAAAAAATCACCTACTTGATTTACAAAATTAATCAGATCAACAACCCTACTTGCTTTTAACACATTGAGTGCCACACTAGAAAAAAAATTTTTTTTCCTTGGGGCTAGAGTGTTTTATTATGAAAATAGAATAAAAACTTCAAAAACAAAATGATCCTTTCTAATTTAATGAAAAATTTGTCATTTTTTATTGTTTTCTGTGCATGAGTTATACGCAACTTGAAAAATAGTTCTCGTAGCTCCCAAGGTGAAAAGACATGTGAGTTACAGATGCTTCACGAGGCCCAGGGCTCAAAACTAGCATGAGTTAAATACAACTCACGTGGCAGTTAATGTGTTAAGAATGTAGAGATATGCTCCCCTGAGTTCACTCTCTGGGGAATGTAGGCTTATGCCCAACTGGAACTAAGATTTCTTCTGTGGTATGGGTAAATCTAGGCCTTAGAGACATTTTGTTGCTCTCAAGAACTCCAAACAGTTGGCGAGGCTGTCTTCTGGCCCATAAGCCACTTGGTGCATGGGAAGTGTCTGTGGACGTGCTGCAAGCCAACACAGTCTCCCTAACCATATTCTTTGCAAGCAAGAGCTCTAGTATGAAATCTCCCGCTCTATTAGACCTTGGAACCAAAATTTATATTATAAAATATCTCCTGATGGTCGCACTAATAGCCCAAGTACAACATACCAGCAAGTCTAAAAACAAAAAAACATAAAACCCAGACCTATCTATTCTGCCCACAAGATATTTTCAAATGGAAATACCATAGGCAAATCAAATCCACAGATCCAAAACCAAGCTCATTATTTCTCCTTTGAACCTACTCTTTTTTCCTGTAATTCTTGTCTGACTCTCAGGCCAGAATCTAAAAGTCACATTCTAAATCTTCACACTTTATTTTTACACCAACCTATCAACTCAATTTCCTAAAAATTTCTGGAATCTATCCTCTTTACAACTAAGATCCCTTTTCTTCTTTTCTTCATGTATGTATTCAACAAGTATGCATCACACACCGTGCTAGGTGTTGGGGATACACAGGAGAGCGACACAGACATGGTACCTGCCCCCCTGGAATATACAATCCAGTTGGGGGACAAATAGCAATCCAACAATCAAATAAACAAATGCATAATTATAAACTGAAACAAAGAAAGGTACAGGATGTGAAGAGGGATCTAAAAAGGAGCACTAGTCTCATTTGGGAGCAAAGGAAGGCTTCCTTCTGGCCCATGTCATTCCTCACCTAGACTATTGCACTAGCTTCTTAAAACTCCGTTTGTCTGAGTTTTGCTTCCATCTCACTCTTTATTTTTATGTATTCATTTATTTCTTTTTAGCAACCTGAAATGCTCCCAAACCATCCCACTCTTTAATCTCTAACCCAGTCGTTCCACCCTTGAAAGTGGTATTGGAGACACTATATACGGTCTGTAAACATATGTTCATGAATATATTTGATTAATGTCTGCCTTCACCAGATTATAAATTAATGAAGGCAGAAATTCTGTCTGTTTATTTACTGCTTCAACCCCACCACCTAGCACACTGTTTGCCCATAATCTTCAATAAATCTTTAATAAATGAGTTTTCTGAAACATAACTCTGATTGTATATTTAAGAACAAGTCATGTTCCATCCTTTAAAAAAAAAAAGCTGTGTTGGCCTGAAAATAATGATAAGTTGATTTATTCTCTCAGAAGACACACTTTCTAGGCAGTTTGATATTTCTCATGTTTTAGTACAACCTTAGAAAAATGAATAATTCTCACTGAGAGTTTATACTGCTCATACAGTTAGGGAAATAATAAACTAAAACATGAGAACTAACCCTAAAATCTCCAAGACAATGATTTTTCACCCCAATTAGATTCCTACTATGGAATTACATATTGAATATCAATCAATATTTTGTATACAGAGGGACATAAACAGATTTATCTAATTTATAAAGAATGCTAATTATTTTCCTTAGCATACATACATTAAAACATATAAAATGAACATATTAATATTGATAGAATAGTTATCTAAGTTTGAGCTTAATGACAAAACATTTACTCTTTGATTTAATTACATTTATATATTCTATAATTACATTTATATATTCATGGTCCACATTAAAAGATAAGAATTATAGTTTACCTCAAAAATTCTCATCTCACCTTAGCATCAAAAGACATTTCACCTAAAGTGGAATCAGCCACCAACTGGATATCAAACATGGGGCAAGATTTTGGAATCTGAGGCTCGCTAATTAAAATTACCAAGAGATTAAATAGTGTTCCCCTGAAATAAACAAATAAAAGGCAATTAATGGGTAAAATTTTATTTTCAGGAAAGCCAGTTTGCAGACAATATAATTATACTTAAAAGAACAAAGTATTGCAGACCATCTTTGGCTGAACTTTTGGACCTTCAGACCTGCAAAGGAATGTATAGCTATAAGAAACTTAAATGAAAATACAATTTCTTGGTCTTTTGGCTTGGAGCAAGTATAGTTCTAGAAGTACGCAAAACTTGGAAAGCTTAGAAAAATCTGGATTTAAGGGAGATTTGGATGATTTCAATTATACCAATGTTTTCCAAAGGGCTTTTTGTGGATTACTAATTCCTGACAATATTACAGTCAAAATAGAATCTGTGGTCAAAAGAGGTATGGGAAATACTTGATTAAACCAAGCTTATTGGATCTCTTTACTACAGGACTTCTCAGAGGTGCACTGTGTATCTCCAGGACAAAGAAACAGCAGGCAGCATTTCTTTCTTTTTTAAATTTTTTAAATTGACAAATAAAAATTGCATGTATTTATGGTATACAACCTATTTTGAACTATGTATACATTTGTACACATATTTCATAAATTGAGTGAATTAACATATGCATTACCTCAGAAACTTACTTTTATACAATAAGAACACTGAAAATCTGTTCTCAGTGATTTTCATGTACAGAGTACATTATTATTAACTATAGTCACCATGTTGTACAATAGATCTCTTGAACTTATTTCTCATATACAACTGAAATTTTGTACCATTTGACCAACATCTCCCAATTCCTCCACACCCCCTAAGCCTCTGACAAGCATTATTCTACACTCTATGTTTCTATGAAGTTGACTTTTTTAGATCCCATATATAAGCAAGATCATGCATGATCACAAAAGTTCAACTCATATTTATGTTTCTGTGCCTGGTTTATTTCACTTAGCATAACGTCCTCCAGCTTCATCCGTGTTGTCCAAAATGACAAAATTTCCTTCTTTTTATGGCTGAATAATATTCCATTGTGTATATATACCACATTTTCTTTATTTGTTCACTCATTACCAGACACTTAGGTTGCTTCCTTTTCTTGGTTATTGTGAATAATGTGCAACATTTCTTAAAATGCTCATTTGATCCCAAGATTTGTGACTCCAGAATCCTTTCACCAGAGCATTTCAGGTGTTTATTGCTCCACTGAATGCCACTAGCTATTAATTAATAAAACTAGTATTAAACCTCAGGTCCTTTGCTTTTTTTTTTTTTTTTTTTTTTTGAGACAGAGTCTCACTCTGTTGCCTGTGCTAGAGTGCCATGGCATCAGCCTAGCTCACAGCAACCTCACACTCCTGGGCTCAGGTGATCCTACTGCCTCAGTCTCCCGAGTAGCTGGGACTACAGGCATGCGCCACCATGCCTGGCTAATTTTTTTCTATATATTTTTAGTTTGCCAATTAACTTATTTCTATTTTTTAGTAGAGACAGGGTCTCACTCTTGCTCAGGCTGGTTTCAAACTCCTGACCTTGAGTGATCCTCCCGCCTCGGCCTCCCAGAGTGCTGGGATTACAGGCGTGAGCCACCGTGCTCGGCCAGGTCCTTTGCTTTCAAATGCAATGTACTATCCATTGACCTACACTGATAATTTACTTACATATTACTATGTAGTTAAATAATATGCCCTATTATTTCAAAATAAAAAGACAAAAATATCACAATTCAAAATGTGCAGCCCGAGGAGATGGGTTAGTAACACCACCTGCATATGTCAAGTCCAACCTGTATATGGTTGAAAAGGAGCTGAAGGTAGACCTCTAGAAAAATCAGTTGCCTAATTGAAGACAATGTCAGACTAGATTTGAGGGGTAGGAGTAGTAAGAGAACTTAAAGGTAGGGCCATACAAATAACCATTAGCATTCCTTTCATAATGGAATAAAGGAGAATATATAAGTCCTTGTTTAGTTATATCTGAGGCTTTCTAGTCTTTTTACAATCACTGAAGCCATTACCATGATTAGAAGCCCATGATTAACCTAAATTCTAATAAAAATACAATTCCAGCGGGCACAATAGCTCACATCTGTAATCCTAGCACTTTGGAAGGCAGAGGCAGGAGGATTGCTTGAGGCCAGGAGTTTGAGACCAGCCTGAGCAACAGGGAGACCCCCGTGCCACAAAAAACAAAACAAACAAATAAACAAAATTAAATTAGCCAGATATGGTGGCTCACGACTGCAGTCCCAGCTACTCACAGGCTAAGGCAGGAGAGTTGCTTGAGTCCAGGAGTTTGAGGTTGCAGTGAGCTATGATAATACCACTGTATTCTAGCCTGGGCAACAGAATGAGACCTTATCTCAAAAATAACCCACAATTCTTATCCTTTCTCTAACACAAAAAGCAAATCCAGTTCTCATATCTGGAAAAGAATCATATCAGTTAGTACATTGCTAAAAAAAAAAAAAAAAAGCAGGTTATAGCCTACAGGGTATTTGCTAATGTTTTATTCAGGCTATTTAAAATGTCCAATCTTACTTTTAGAAGACCCTTTTAAGATCAACAAAACACTTTCTTTAGAAGCTTTTCTTGATATTAAGTTTGAATTCGCATTCTACTGTTATATTTAATTATAGTCCTTTATTTTCTTTCAGTAACAGCTTCTTTTCAAAGTATCATATATCCAAGCCTAAGAAAAGGAACTATCAAATTCTGGGTCACTTGCTGTGATAATATATAAATGCAACTCTAGCAATACTAGGATATGAAAGAATGTGGCACATTTCAAGAAGAATATAGCAAAATGGGTTTATTAACAATCTCCACTTATGAAAATAATAAAGAGGAAAATGCTGAAATGAATAACTGCTTTTATATTTGCTCAAGTGGAATTTAATTTGAAATCCACCCATTCTGCCAACTCAATTTAAAATCCACTAGGCCAATAATAGAAGAAATTTTAATCAAAATGATAGTTTCATCCTGAAAATAGAGACTTATTATAGGATTTACATCACAGCCTTAAAAATAGTCCCAACAGTTTAATACTCTTTTTTATAGCCCAACATCAAGTTTCAATAACTTTGTGGGGTTTTTTTGCTTTTGCTTTTGTTTTTGAGTCAAAGTCACACTCTGCTGCCCAGGCTACAGTGTGATGGCATTATCATAGCTCACTGCAACCTCAAACTCCTGGGCTCAAGGGATCCTCCTACCTCAACCTCCCAAGTATCTGGGACTATTGGCGTGCGCCACCATGCCTGGCTAATTTTTAAAAATTTTTGTTTTTCTTTTTTTTTTTTGCAAAAACAAGGTCTCCCTCTTCCCCAGGCTGGTCTTGGCCTCAAGCAATCCTCCTGCCTCTGCCTTCCAAAGTGCTAGGATTATAGGCATGAGCCACCCTGTCCAGCCCCAACAGTTTATACTTTCATTGTGTAGATTGTTATTATTTCCAATGTATGAATTTTGAATGTATTACAGAGTCTTTTAAAATATACACTTTGAAGGGCAAACTCATAGTCCCATAAGTCAGTCTACGTTACTGCGGCAGGTAGAAATCTGACATGGCTTCCAAGATTCCCAGTCTGCTGTATACCTACCCTATGTAATCCCTTCCCCTTAAGTATGGGCAGGATCTCTGAATATATTTGATTATCACTCTTGTGATTATGATACATTAGATGGGAGAGGTAAAAGGTTTCTGAAACTATAATTAAGGCCCCTATGTAGCTGAATTTTGAGTTAATCAAAAAGATTAGCTTGGCCAAGCTCTGTGGCTCATGCCTATAATCCCAGCACTTTGGGAGACCAAGGCAGGAGGATTGTTTGAGCCTAGGAGCATGAGACCAGCCTGGGAAACATAGCAAGACCCTGTCTCTACAAAAAAAAAAAAAAAGCAATTTTTAAAAATTAGCCAGTTCTGGTGGCACATGCCTACAGTCCTAGCTAATAGGGAGGCTGAGATAGGAGGATTGCTTGAGCCCAGGAGTTCAAAGCTGCAGTGAGCTATGACCACACTACTCAACTCCAGCCTGGGCAACAGAGCAAGACCCTGTCTCAAAAAAAAAAACAGCTTATCCTAAGGACCTAATCTAATCAGATGAGCCTTATAAAAGAGAGCTTAGTCCCTCCCTGAGCTCAGAGAGAGTTTCCTGCTAAGAAACAAACCACCTGAGTTCTATAGCTGTCAGGAGATGAATTTTACTAACAACCACCCAAATGTGCTTGGAAAAGAACCTCAAGCCTCAGATGAGACCTCTGCCTCTGCTTACACCTTGACTGAAGCCACCTTGTGAGACCTTCAGCAGAGGATCCAGTTAAACTGGGCCTAGATTCCCGATCCACAGACAATGTGAGATTATAGATGCATTTTGCTTTATGCTAAGTTTCTTGTAATTTGTTACATGGCAATAGAAGGCTAGTGCAATTCTATTAGACACTGACTGTGCTAGTTAACACTATGGGCAATATGACTTGACCCTAGGCATATCGAAATTGGCTGAAAAAAGGCAGTATTACAACCAGACTCTACTATAGCAATATAATGTATGTATCAAAGGACACGAAAAGAATGAGTCATACCAGAGAAGAGGCTTGATACAGTAGGGCTGATGTGATCACATCAAGCTAAAACAAAACAATTAAAAGCAACACTTTACAACAGAGATAAGGGTGATTTTTTTTCAACTTGGATATAGGAAGGTAGGGACCAAAAGGTAGAAAAAAAGGGTAACAAGATGTAGTATAGGCCAGGTGCGGGTGGCTCATGCCTCATGGGTGGCTGAGGGAGGAGGATCATTTGAGGACAGGAGTTCAAGACCCGAGCAAAAGCAAGACCCCATCTCTACAAAAAATACAAAAATTAGCCAGGTGTGGTGGTGCACACCTATAAGTCCCAGCTAGTTGGGAGGCTGAGGCAGGAGGATCACTTGAGCCCAGGAGTGAGGTTGCAGTGAGCTGGGGGGACAGAGCAAGACCCTGTCTCCAAAAAAACAAGAGCTGTGGCAATAATTTAAATCTAGGAGAAGATGGAAATATCAGAAATAATCTTGAATCTCCATCTTGGAGATTGGGGAAGTGGCAGGGCCACCAGTTGCATAAAGAAGTATTCAGAGAAAATAACAGCGTGTATATTCTTTTTTGTTGTAAAGCAAGGATCAGCAAAATACGACCTACAGGCCAAAACCAGCCACAGCTTATTTTTATAAATAAACCTCTATTGGAACACAGCTTTGCCCATTCATTATGTACTGTCCATGGCTGCTTTTGTGCTACAGTGGCAGAGTTGAGTAGTTGCAACAGAGACTGTATGGTCTGAAAAGCCAAAATACTTACTATTGACTCTTTACAGGAATGTTTGCCCACCTCTGCTGTAAAGCATATATGCCCATAATCCCTGGCACCTAAGTTGCTTAAGAAATATTAATGAATATTATCATTAAATTTATTTTTAAAGGTCTTTAATAAATAGCCTGGAAAATTATTACTAACTGTTCTTATTTCTTTCTCACGGTTTGAGTATTTTAGAGTCCATGCCCCTAATCCTTCCTCCACCTTCTAATACAGCAAATTTAGATAAACAATTGATGAGGGCAGAAAAAAAAAAAAAAAGATTTTAGCCAGAACATTGCTCAAGGACATAATTCATAGTCTATAAAGACATATTAAAAATTCAAGTAGATGATGTGCAGAACTGCAAACACACAACGTTATGTGGCAAAGAACGCTACTGTCCCCAACTATATATTCTTCCATTCTTTTGTTTTACCAAGAGACCATTTCACTTATTTATTATTTTTCCATTCTTCCCTTTAATAACAGATGTCCTCACTGCCATCCAAAGTTTAGGTAAGCCCATGGCTGTGCAACTACAGACATATTTTCCAGCCTCTCTTGCAGCTAGGTACAGCCATATGCCTAAAGTTCTCACCAAAAGAATGTGAGCAGAAGTGTTATATGCCTCACTTGAAGAGGAAATTTGCTTGCCCTTTACTTCTCTCTCTCTGCTTCCCACAGGGTATAATGGAGTCATGAAGATCAACCGGCTTCAACCATGAGGACAAAGACAGCAGGACAGAAGATGGCAGAGTAGCAAAAGGGAAAGAACCTGGGTCCCTGGATGACCTGGTGGAGGAAAGCCTGACTGTCTACTCTGAACTGCTATGTGAGGAAGATACATATTTCTATCTTCTTTGGGCCATGTATTTTAGAGTATCTTTATTACAGCAGCTCACCCTATATGTTAATAAACCATCCAAGGTCATTCACTCCAAAGTCACACAATTATACAGTAAATGAGGCTACTATAATTCCTGCCTTTGCAATTTTTCTACTGTGTGGATATAAAAATACTCTGGGAAATTCTAGCAGAGACCCCTTGACTTTTAACGTAGAATGACTCATTTGGTCTTTTTCAAGTTCACCACACTAGGACAAAAATAAAGTTAGTCTAAGAAATTCTCTGTACCCTTAACAACCCAGAGGTACAGAGAGAACTCAGCATGTGCCAATTAATCTGTTCATCACAGAAGGAAGTAGATAGAGAAACAAAAGCACATAATATACTTAGGAGGGGGTTGAACAGAGAAGTTAGAGAGTTATGAGTTTTGGAAGACACTCAAAAGAATAGTAAATGGGTTCCAACTACCAGGTCCCAATGTTCTCTAAAAGACCTTACTTTTTAGCTGCCAATGTGTTCAGGCGTGATGACTCAGTTTCTGTTTCTCTGAACATGAGTCCTAGGGTCTGTAAAATTTCGATGCATGCCCTAAAAAACAAAGAGAAAAAAAGCGTGGAAATAGTATGATTTTATTAGAAGCTCAGAATTCCACAAAAGTAGTAATCCTTGCTAGAATTGCTTTCAGATATCCATATAGAAAAAAGTACAGGAAATTGGCTGAGTGCCTGTGATAGCTACATAGCAAGCACTCAAAAATATTTGTTGAATGAAAGAATGAATAGCTGAATGTTGGTTAAGACATTTATTTTTTAAGAGATAGGGGTCTTACTGTGTTATCCAGGTTGGAGTACAGTGGCTATTCACAGGCCCAGTTATTGCACACTACATCCTCAAACTCCTGGCCTCAAATGATCCTCCTGCCTCAGCCTCTCAAGTAGCTAGGACTATTGGCATGCACCACCACACCCGAATAAGTCATTTTAATATTCTTTTTGTATGTATATGTTTCCCAAAGTTTTCAGGATATTCAAGCACTACTTTATTTTAAAATTATCTTTTATCATTTTAGTTTTCTAAAATAGATAATATTTGGCTCGAAGTGTCAAAGGTAAAAAAGAGAATACAATGAAAACTATCTTTCCTCCAGATGCCCATTTTTCCCCCTTTGGGGAAACCAATATTACTAGTTTCTTGTGTATCTTTCCATTAAAATTAAGACAAAATGAATGCTATTTTTAAAAAATCCATGCAAAGCAAAACTTGCAGCCCCAATTATCATTAATACAGCATATAGTTTGTCCAATGCTTTCCATTTATCTTTAACACCCTAGGAGGGAAAAAATATCTGTGATCATCTAGTTAGTACTTACACCAGCTCATCAGCCCTTTGCCTTTGGTTTCCAAGTGCGTTCTTATCCCTAGATTCTGGCAAGTACTCACGAAGTTTGTTTACTAGGAAACTGAAAAGGTCACTGGTCTGTGAAAGCAAGTGAGAAAAGAGATGGTTATTAAGATATCAGTTGTTTTGTTGGTTGGTTTGTTTATGGGTCTCACTCTGTCACCCAGGCTGGAGTGTAGCGATATGATCATAGCTCAATGTATCCTTGAACTCCTGCGCCCAAGCGATCCCCCTACCTCAGCCTCCCCAATAGCTGTGACTACAGGTACATGCCATCACACCAGCTAATTTTTAATTTTTTTGTATAGCCATGGGGGTCTCACTATGTTGCCAAGGCTGGTCTTGAACCCCTACCCTCAAGCCATCCTCCTGCTTTGACCTCCCCAAAGTGCTGGGATTACAGGCGTGAGCCACTTCTTCTGGCCAGTATCAGTTGTTAAAACTCTCTACCCTTGTGTAATAAAAAGCATGAAGAAATGATTTGTTCTTTGAGGAAAGAAGTGAATTATAATATCTCTCCTTCATACTAGCATAGCCCAATTGAAAACATACTTTTTACTTACAACCAGGAGACCACTGTCCTGGTGACCAGAGCAAAAACACTAGGGGTGGTGCTGGGCAAACCAAGAAGGTTGGTCATCCTGCAGATGAAGCACCTAGGCAGTGGCCAGGACTGTCTTGTACAGCTGGCAGTTTGTGTGCTTCACAACTGCCCGATAAAACAGTGGCAGCCACGTAGGAGACTGAGCAGAATTAGGATACAACATATAGCCCAGGCAGGCTTGCCCCACTCCTGGGCTCATTAGCACCACACCACTACTCACCTGGACTTCTTTTTTTTAATTTTATTTTAGCGTATTATGAGGGTACAAGTGTTGAGGTTACTTATATTGCCCATGTCCCCCTCCCCCCTCGGGGAAGAGCTTCAAGCGTGTCCATCTCCCAAACGTTGCACATCTTACTCATTGTGGTTGTATATACCCCTCCCCACCTCCCCCCTCCCACCCTCCCGACACCCTATAAATGTTACTCCTATATGTCCACTTAGGTGTTGATCCGTTAATACCAATTTGCTGGTGAGTACATGTTCACCTGGACTTCTTAACACCTTCCCCGGAATGTGAAAATGAATTATCTGTAACTTAATGAGTGAAAACAGGTTGCCTTGGCTTCCCAGGAGTCACATTTTTTAAAATACCAGACCTACACTCAAAAGGAATTTTTAAAAATTATATTTTTGCTATAGGGGAACCTGCATAGTAAACCTTCTTGAAATCTACTTGCTCATCTCACCGTCTGTACTAATATATCTTGCATGCCAAAAACTTTCCCTTTAATCTCTCTCTTCTTTGACTTTGCCAGCCAACCCCATGCGAGCTGCTTTTGCTACACCCCTCCCTTCCCATTTCCCCACAACACACACACACACACACACACACACACACACACACACACACACACACGAACATTATTGTTCTCATCCCAAATTTTCAAGCGCTAAGACGTGACTGAATTAAATTTAATCAACGGTTTGAAACACAGCATCAGAATACAAGGCATTTATTGCTATTTTAACTTATGCTTAGATTTGGTACAGAGGTAAAACAAGCTTTAAAGAGTAAAAGCAAAACAAAACACCTACTTTCCAGAAAAGCCTTTTCAGGATGAAGTTTTTCTGGGCTGCTACTTTAAGTTCCGTAATTAAACAAAGTATCTTCCTCAAAGTATTGTCTTTAAGAATAAGTTCAGACTTAAGTTGACTGAAGTGCTTAATTTTCTCCTCAGATCTACAGGCACACAAGAAAATTGTCCATGTGAAAAATGACAAGAAATAGCAGTTATGAATATCAACGATTACTGACAGGTTTGTAAATACTTTGTTACTAGTGGAATTTTACTAATAGTTTTTTTACTTCTAGCCTTCTTACTTATCGGTAGGGAAATCTGCAACCTCCAGATTGAACTGGTTATTATTCTCTCTTTTTACCACTGCCCCTTTTCTAAAGTCCACACACCAGGAATGCTCTCACTGTCCCTAGTAAATTTCTGTCCCTCTTTGATGGCTTAGCTCATACCATTTACCATAATCCATGAACCATATGTAATATTATTTGCTTAATTTTCTTCAAGTAACTCATTTTTTTTTTCTTGCTTAAAGTTTATTTGTAAAGGAAACTTTGTATCGCTACATTACAGGGAAAACCAATACCTCTTGGCATAAATAGTGGGCAACTGTAAAAATAGCATGAAAGCAACACAAATTTTAAGTGGATGCTCCACATTCTGAGCCCGAGGCCTGCTCTCTCAGTGATGAAAATACAGATGAACATGTCACTGCTGACAACTGACCGATGTCACTGCTGGCCCCACGTGGAGAGGTTCGCCCTAATGAGATGAGAGTAGCTGGAAAAAGAAATCTAACTTTTCCACCAGAAAATTCAAAGTTCCTTCATGCTGTGTCTGAGCACCCAAAATCATCTCCCATCACTGAACCAAGTGCGTTCCACACTTCCGGAACAGCTGGCTGAGCTGAAAAGACCTTCTCCTTAGATCTTTCCCTAATTTCACCAACGAATGCAGCACCTCTGCCATTGCAGTTTTTTTCTCATGCCTAGCATCACATTAATCCTATTTCATTCCGTTGTAGGCATCTGTGTATGCATCCTGGCCCCCCAGCTGACTTTTAGCAACTTGAAGAAAAATGTTATCAGGTTAAATATTGTTTCCATCTCCGCTGTGCTCAGTCATAACAACTTACACTTAGCTGGGCACTGGCGACATGGCAGGCTCTGGCCTGGGTCCCTTCCATGGACCAGTTCACTCACTGAGCTGGCTCCCACTACGGGGTCTGATCTAGGAATTACTAGGGTATTTTATAGGAAGTTGGAGGGGTTCAGTGACCTGTCCAAGTTCACACAACTAATGATTCAGAAAGCCAGGGTTGCAAAGTAAAAGTAGGAAACATATTTCATATTCTGTGTAGGTTGATGGAATCTGAGAATTTCTGACTTGAAGTAAAAACGTTTTTTACCACCTACTCCAGAAATCTGCAATACCAGCCATTTATCCCAATAATAGAATGTTGGCTCTTGCCCACTGCTTTCCTCTTTATCTAAAAAACATCTGAGATATTCTCCTCTATCCAGTCAATGAGACTCTTTTATTAACCCCCAAATTAATACCTCTTTAAAAACAGTCTTTTTTGGCCAGGCGCGGTGGCTCACACCTGTAATCCTAGCACTCTGGGAGGCCGAAGTGGGCAGATTGCTCGAGGTCAGGTCAGTGCGAAACCAGCCTGAGCAAGAGTGAGACCCCGTCTCTACTGTAAATAGAAAGAAATTAATTGGCCAACTAATATATATAGAAAAAAAAAAAAAACTAGCTGGGCATGGTGGTGCATGCCTGTAGTCCCAGCTACTCGGGAGGCTGAGGCAGAAGGATCGCTTGAGCCCAGGAGTTTGAGGTTGCTGTGAGCTAGGCTGACGCCACGGCACTCACTCTAGCCTGGGCAACAAAGCGAGACTCTGTCTCAAAAAAAAACAAAAAAAAAAAAACAGTCTCTTTTCCAGTGAAGATGCTAGAGATAATTTCCAATTCAGCAACAGCAATCAGAGAGGCAGTAGAACATAATGAGTCTGAGCATGAGGGCTGAAGTCAGAACCGCAGGTCTGCCTCTACTTGGTTAGGTAAGTACCATAGGTAAGTTACATAGTTTCTGTGCCTCAATTTCCTTCTCTATAAAATGGGGGTGATGATAATACCTATTCAATTTTGCTGTTTTGATGCTTTAGTGAATGCATGTCCTCAGCAAACGGTAAGAGTCTAATAAATGGTCTCCAAACAAAACAGGAATAAGTTTGAGATCCTGCTTCCTTATATACACCTCTAATTACCATCATCTTTCATTTAAAAAATAACTATAAAATCCCTCTACACTCTCAGAACTCCAAAAACAATAGAAATGTAGTTTTCACAAACAAATGAGCTTAGGAAAGCAAAAGCTCAGATAAAATACAATATCAGCAGAATTATTTTGAAACTGATTTTCCTGTTTTTCCCATTTGAAGTCAGCAATTTGCTATGATCCACAATAGAAACAAACCGTTTTTCATCCTTTGCCACCTATTATAATAGATTGCAATGCCAAACTAATTTTTTTTAAAGTAGGAAAATTTTTCATAGGAAAAGGCACACTAACCTCTTCATACAATCAATTCATATAGAAATTGAGGTTTCATATACATCATAAATTCAAGTTAGATTAAGTATTCTATATTACCACAGACAAGTTACCAATAACTATATAAGTTCTTTGGACATTCAGAGAATATTTACTTTTACGTAGATGACAAAATTCATTTGACTAACTTAAATAAGAAAAAGTCTAGTGCCAGAAGACTCCATTAACTTAGGAATAAAGAGGGAAATCTATATTAAAGTCAACAGATACTCTGTATTTTCATCAGCTAGAAAAAATAAATATACCAAGATAATGTTGCAAGAAAGATTCTTGATCTAATGATAAGCTTTATTTTTCCTATATATTTTCATTTTTCTAGACATTCAGTATAAATAATACTTCTCATGTGTATAATGCCTTCCAGCTGGAAAAGGCTTTTCATATATTATCTCAGCACTGATGTGCATTATGTTCACGATGGTCATGCTACAGAACTGTCACATCTGTGATAGAATTATAATTTGAAAACCCAAAGACTTTGAACCGAAGGTACCTTGCAGATAAAGACTATTGTGTATCTTCACATCCCTCACAGTGCATTTGAAATCCCTGCATTTTAAATATGTTCATGCCTATAATCCTAGCACTCTGGGAGGCCACAGCGGGAGGATAGCTTGAGCTAAGGAGTTCGAGACCAGCCTGAGCAAGAGCGAGACCCGGTATCTACTAAAAATTATCTGGTGGTGCACACCTGTAGTCCCAGCTACTCAGGAGGCTGAGGCAGGAGGATCGCTTGAGCCCAGGAGTTTGAGGTTGCTGTGAGCTAGGCTGATGCCACAGCACTCTAGCCTGGGCAACAGAGCAAGACTCTGCTTCAAAAAACATAAATAAATAAAAACTAAATAAATGTGTTGCCTTCAGGAATTAATTTTATAAGAAATATGCTTTTCCTGAGTCAGGATAATAGTAAAACTCTTCTTCTTGCCTTCAGAAATAAATTTCAAGCCACACATATACAAATTCAAATCTGTTTTATTAGACAGTTAGTTTTAAAATTACTTTAAATAAAGCACCAAAATGAAAACTAATATTTTTTAGAGTAAATGTATGAAAACATGTTGAAATTCTGAGCTATCTGTATAATCTTTTTTTCGAAGAAATTCCAAACATTATGTCATTTAACCCCTATATAGCTCAGAACAGATCTCTAAACAAAATGAACATTTTCTTATAAAATTATTATTATCACTCCCAAGAACATTATCAAAACTTCTTTGTTATTATCTAATACCCAGTTCATTTTTAAACTCCTCTAAAATCTTAAATATGTCTTTTTTTGTTTGGTTTGTTAAAATCAAGACTAAATAAGATACTTCTCATATTTGCTTGTTATGTTTAAGTTTTTAAAAATTTTTTATTATGGAAGTTTTCCAGCATAAATAAAAATGGAGAAAACTGTCTAAGAAACCTCTTTACCCATCACCTAGTTTCAATAATTTTCAATGTTTTGCCAATCTCATTTTATCTATTCTGTTACACATACGCACACATATGAGACAGAGTCTCACTTTGAGACAGAGTCTCACTTTGTTGCCCAGGCTAGAGTGAGTGCCATGACGTCAGCCTAGCTCACAGCAACCTCAAACTCCTGGGCTCAAGTGATCCTTCTGCCTCAGCCTCCCAAGTAGCTGGGACTACAGGCATGTGCCACCATGCCGGGCTAATGTTTTTTCTGTATATATTAGTTGGCCAATTAATTTCTTTCTAATTATAGTAGAGACAGGGTCTCGCTCTTGCACAGGCTGGTTTCGAACTCCTGACCTTAAGCAATCCGCCCGCCTCGGCCTCCCAGAGTGCTAGGATTACAGGCATGAGCCACCACGCCTGGCCCGCACACATTTTTTTTTAAATTTTTTCTAAAGGCTAGTCAAGTGAAGCAGTGGGAGTGGAAAAGGAACAAAGGAATATGTAACTGGTTGTGATCAATTAGTTGTAAACACCACTGCACTTGGACCAGCCACACACACATTTTAAAAAATTGAGGTAAAATATGCATAACATAAATTTACTTTTGTGACCGTTTTTCAGTGACATTAAGTGCATTCACAATGTTGTGCAACCATCACCACCATCCATTTCCAGAACTTTTTCATCTTCCCAAACAGAACGTCTGTACCCACTGAACACTATTCTCTCTTCCCCATTCCCTGCAGCCCCTTGTAACCTCTATTCTACTTTCTGTCTCTATGAATCTGCCTATTCCGGGTTCCTTATATAAGTGGAATCATACAGTATGTGCCCTATTGTGTCTGGCATATTTCACTTATCATCATGTCTTTAGATCATCCACATTGTAGCATCTGTCGGGATTTTAAGGCTGGCACACCCGCGTTTTTAAGTCAGATTCGGGTTTAACTGTCTTAGCAGAAATACTTCCTAGGTGTCGGTGCTGTGTGTTTCATATCACATCAAATAATGAGGCACGTGAAGTTGCCCTACTTCAGTGATGCTAAGCATAATCAATGGGTTTAGTTATTTACAACATGATCCTTCCATTTGAAGTTCCGCTTCACTTTCTGTCTAATGGTTTCATCCACTGAGGACAGCCACATGAATCTATTATTTCATTAGAGGTGGCAAAAACAGCAATTTTGTAATTCTGTTAAACTTTCCACATTCATTAGCTGGGATTCTGTTTCAATCGCCTCATTCCTTCTTTCTTTCTGATGCTAGGTTGTCCCATCTTTGGCTATTGGGAGCCTCTTCATGAGTGTTTCTGTGTCCTTTATTCAGGGCGTGTTGTCTTTGATTTCTGGTTATAAGCTGTTTCAGATTCATTTTGTATGTTTACTGCCCCAGAGGTAGAATCAGCCATTTTTCTAAAGAACTTTGGTTCCTTTTAGTGAGGGATGAATATGCATCTTTTAAAATTAATTTACCCTTACCTCATTTGCATGACTCTCCAATATATCTCACTATTGCAAACCTCTCAAAACTTGCCCATGACTTACTTGACATCACAATTGCTGACATTATAAATTCACTGGCTGCTTACTGTGTGCGAAGCACTGTTTTATGTAAGAACAATACCAAGATTAAAAAGACATACTCCTTGCCTTCCAAGAGCTTACTATCGAATGCAAGAGACAGTCACATCACAAGTAATTACTACAATATAAGGCCAACCTGTGATAAGGACATAATAGAACTCCGAAGTCTGGATAAAATCCAAACTCCTTAGGCTTGAATATAGGCCCTTTTATGATCTGGTTGCAGCCCCTATCTTATTCATTCATTCATTCTAAGGTTCCTGTCCTTAAGGAATATACTGCATAATAGGGCAGCAAATAGTCAAACAAGCAATCATCATATAGACTGGCAAGTGCTACAAGATGTGTAAGCATAGGATGTTATGGGGGGGTCCCTCCTATCTTAGTTTTGAGGGATCAAGAAAGATCCTTTTTTTGTTTTGTTTTCTTTTTTTTCTTTTTTTTTTTTTGAGACACAAAGTCTTGCTCTGTCACCTGAGCTAAAGTGCCGTGGCATCCGCCCAGCTCACAGCAACCTCAAACTCCTGGGCTCAAGTGATCCTCCTGCCACAGCCTCCTGAGTAGTTGGGACTACAGACATGCACCACCACTCCCAGCTAATTTTTTCTATTTTTAGTGCAGAGGGAGTCTCACTCTTGCTCAGGCTGGTTTGGAACTCCAGAGCTCAAGCAATCCTCCTGCCTCTGCCTCCCAGAATGCTAGAATTACAGGTGTGAGCCACCATGCCCGCCCTGAAAAAGATCTTTAGAGAAAAGTATAGATAAGCTAAGATTTGATGAGTTGAAAGGATCCAGGAAGGGGAAGAAGAGTAGAGAGGAGAGTTCCAGAAGAGGAGCCATCACATTAGGGCCCAGAGAGAAAAGAACAGGGAGCTTTCTGAGAACTTCGAGTTAATTTGGAGCAGGGGCTTAGGGCAGGAGTGAGGAGGAATAGTTGAAGATAGAAAAATAAAGAGACATCATGAGCATCTTCATAAGCTGTCGGTTAGAATTTAGGCTTTCACTTAAGGGCAACGGGAAGGAAGCCATTCAAAGGGCTTCAGGGAGGAGTTACAGATCAGATTCGTGCTTGGGAAAGACTCCTCTGTTGTAATGGAGAATGGGCTGGAGAGAGGCAAGAGTGAAGTCAGAGAGACGAGCTAGGAAAATACTGTGGAACCCCAGAACAGAGATTATTGGGCCTGAGAGAGTGGCAGTGGAAAGAAGTGGGTGTTATGCAGATACACTAGAGGTGCAATAAATCACATGATGATTGGCTGGTAAAGGGGAGAGAAGAGGTAAGAGTGACATCCAGAATGCCAGCCTAGGTGATCTGGGGATACAATGACATCATTCCTTGTGTTAGAAACACAAGAGGAAGGTCAGATTCCAGAAGGAAGCTGCTGAGTTCTCTTTCGAATATGCTGACTTAAAGTTCCTGTGAGACATACATAAGATGTCAGTGGATACTTGTGTTTGCAGACCTCTAACTCAGGACAGACAGTTAAGGCAAAGGCGTACGTGTGATAGTCAGCCACACACACAACACAGAGTTAGGAGAGACACAGGAGAGAAAAATCCCCCATGCAATTCTTTTCATTTCATCACTCCTTACCTATATGGCTTTTGACTTCCAGTAGCAGGATTGAACTCACTAGCATATAGGGGATCTTGTAAAAGAGTAGCTTTCTGAAAGAGGAAAAAAGTGGATATTGTTGGAATTTTTGTTTACTGAAAATCAATTCCCCCTACTTTTAGTCAACATCATATATCAGTTGTTTAATCCTTTCTGTAGTACATGATTTGTTTATATAACTCCAGTGTTTGATAACACTACAGAGAATTTTTTCCTTATCTAGTATTTTTTGGATTTTTTTTTTTATTTTTTGAGACAAAGTCTCGCTCTGTTGCCCGGGCTAGAATGCCATGGCATCAGCCTAGCTCACAGCAACCTCAAACTCCTGGGCTCAAGTGATCCTCCTGCCTCAGCCTCCCAAGTAGCCGGGACTACAGGCACGCGCCACCATGTGCAGCTAATTTTTTCTATTTTTAGTTGTTTTGCCTAATTTCTTTCTATTTAGAGTAGAGACGGGGGTCTCACTCTTGGTCAGACTGGTCTTGAACTCCTGAGCTCAAGCAATCCTCCCACCTCGGCCTCCCAGAGTGCTAAGATTACAGGCATGAGCCACCGTGCCCACCCCTTATCTAGTTTTTAAAAAGTTTTAAACATAGCATTTGCTCATTATAAAATTATTTGTCAAAATCAAACAATACAGAAATGCATAAAGTAAAAGATGAAAGTTCTTTTTCCCTACCCCTTCCCACTATTCAAAGTATCTGACTATTATCAGTTTGTTTTTTGTCCTTTCAGGCATTTAAAGACATATTAATTATAACATATACATTTATAGTATTTATATATTATATGATATGTTTTTATAATATGTATACTTAATCCTAGATAAATTATATCACATATATAATCTGGAACTTAAGTTTTTTTCATTTAGTATATGGTGGGCAGTTTTTCATGTCTGTATATATAGATTTACTTCAATCTGTATAATGATTGCCTCATATTCCACAGCATAGATATACAATACTTTTGTTAACTATTCCCTTATTAATAGAGTTATTTTTTCCTTAAATCTTTAGTGTTGCCATTTCCCATTTATTCTGGGTCCTCAAAACAGACATGTAATGTTCAGTAACGTCTCTAAATAATCTTTCATTTATGTTGAGGCTTAACATACAGGTCAGAAGGAATTTCTGAAATGTTGCTGATTTGCAACTCCCAACAAGCTTAACCCTGTCTTATTCTTAATATCAGAGCAGGGTAGTGGACAGATGGTAAAAAGGGAAGTGTGTGCTTTTTCTTACTACTTTTGTCATTATTATACATTAAAAAAAAAAAAAAAAGCCACCCTTTGTTCCCTCTCCAAATGTTTATGATCTCTTTAAATCTAGAATTTTATTTTGGGGTATCTCTTAATTATTTAGCTTTTTTAGCAGCTATCTTCACAACATATACAGGGCAAAGAATTACCACATTTCTTCTTTATTGAATTTGAGATGCTAAATCACCCAGATGTAATTATTTTTGGTGAAAGTTACAGATAAAATGGGCTACTGAAGGAGTCTCAACTCTTTGGAAATGCTTAAAATCAGGATGCGTACTAATCATTTCTATTTGGATGGTTTGAGTTAATTTTAGCTAACAGAACAGAGAGATTCCCTTTCTCAGTCACATTTCTCTGCTGCAACATGAAGTGCCACTCTGGATCTTAAGGCACAAGAGATCAGTTTACCCAAGATAAGTCTCACTGACTTAGGACATGATTTTTTTTCAATTTCCTAAAACTTATCAATATATCGCCAAGACTAACCGAAGGTGACCAACTCGATAAAAGAATTCAACGGTGTCACAAAAAAGTCACCACTTTAAAGAGCTTATTTTGAATTACTATAATATTCTTACTAGAATGAATGCTAACTTGATTTATCATTTACATGTGAAATAGCTGTTTATTCACTTTCCATCTTTCAAGGGATAGAACATTTTTTAATTTTTTTTTTTTCAATCTTCAGAGATGGGGGTCTCGAGGTATTGCCCAGGCCATTCTCAAACTCCTGGCCTCAAGCAATCCTCTGGCCTACCATTTACAGGTGTGAGCCCCCACACACAGCTCACGTTAGTTATTGCTATTGCATTTATTATTGGAAGGACCATATATAACTTTAAGGTAATGAGTTGGACAATCTGACTTGCACCAACCATTCCTCTGCTTGGCGGAATTAAAAAGTAGTACTAAAACTCCGCCGGGTGCAGTGGCTCACGCCTGTAATCCTAGCACTCTGGGAGGAGGAGGTAGGCGGATTGTTCAAGGTCAGAAGTTCAAAACCAGCCTGAGTGAGACCCCTTCTCTACTAAAAGTAGAAAGACATTAATTGACCAACTAAAAATACATATACAAAAAAGTAGCCGGGCATGGTGGCGCATGCCTGTAGTCCCAGCTACTCGGGAGGCTGAGGCAGGAGGATCTCTTGAGCCCAAGAGATTGAGGTTGCTATGAACTAGGCTGACGCCACGGCACTCACTCTAGCCTAGGCAACAAAGTGAGACTCTGTCTCAAATAAATAAATAAATAAATAAATAAATAAATAAATAAATAAAATTAAAAATAAAAAGTAGTACTAAAATTTGAAGATGGTCAATTCGGGAAAGCATAAACTGTTATTTTGAATAAAATACATAGATTTTTTTAAAAAGTCAATTAAGTTTTGGCTTTTCTATTTGAATATATGAAATATGGGTCGGGGAAGGGGTTGTTGGTTTTTTTTTAAATTTATTTTTTAGAGTCAGGGTATTGCTCCATCACCCAGGATGGAGTGTATAGCCCAGTCATAGCTCATTACAACTTTAAACTCCTGGCCTTAAGCGATCCTCCTGCCTCAGCCTCCCAAGTAGCTGGGACTATAGGCATGCGTCAACATGCCTGGATAATTTATAATTTTTTTTGTAGAGATAGAGTCTTGCTAGGTTGCCCAGGCTGAGATCTTTTTTAATAGGCTAGGGTTTTCCTTTATTTATGATTTGTTTTACTTTTTGTTTTTTTTTTGAGACAGGGTCTCACTTTGTTGCCCAGGCTAGAATGAGTGCCGTGGCATCAGCCTAGCTCACAGCAACCTCAAACTCCTGGGCTCAAGTGATCCTCCTGCCTCAGACTTCCAAGTAGCTGGGACTACAGGCATGCGCCACCATGCCCCGTTAATTTTTTTCTATATATATTAGTTGGACAATTAATTTCTTTCAATTTATAATAGAAACGGGGTGTCGCTCTTGGTTTCAGTCTCCTGACCTCAAGCAATCCACCCACCTTGGCCTCCCAGAGAGATAGGATTACAGGTGTGAGCCACCTCGCCCCACCTACATTTTTTTTTTTTTTTTTTTTTGAGACAGAGTCTCGCTTTGTTGTCCAGGCTAGAGTGAGTGCCATGGCGTCAGCCTAGCTCACAGCAACCTCAAACTCCTGGGCTCGAGTGATCCTTCTGCCTCAGCCTCCCGAGTAACTGGGACTACAGGCATGTGCCACCATGCCCGGCTAATTTTTTATATATATATCAGTTGGCCAATTAATTTCTTTCTATTTATAGTAGAGACGGGGTCTCGCTCTTGCTCAGGCTGGTTTTGAACTCCTGACCTTGAGCAATCCGCCCGCCTCGGCCTCCCAAGAGCTAGGATTATAGGCGTGAGCCACAGCGCCCGGCCTCCACCTACATTTTTAATTTGAAGAAAACTGTCTAAAAATTTAGAGAGGATTTTTAAATATTTGAAGTCTTCTGAATTGTGCTATGAGAGAAAAAAAATGAGTCACCTTATAATCTTTTACAATTTTTAGCCATTTATAAAAACTCTGGGCCAGGCGCGGTGGCTCACACCTGTAATCCCAGCACTCTGGGAGGCCGAGGCGGGCGGATTGCTCGAGGTCAGGAGTTTGAAACCAGCCTGAACAAGAGCAAGACCCCGTCTCTACTAAAAATAGAAAGAAATTAATTGGCCAACTAATATATAGAAAAAATTAGCCGGGCATGGTGGCACATGCCTGTAGTCCCAGCTACTCGGGAGGCTGAGGCAGGAGGATTGCTTGAGCCCAGGAGTTTGAGGTTGCTGTGAGCTAGGCTGACGCCACGGCACTCACTCTAGTCTGGGCAACAAAGTGAGACTCTGTCTCAAAAAAAAAGAGAGAGAAAAAAAATAATAAAAGCTCTGTTTCTTAGTTTCTTCTGAGTTAAATAGTCTTTCATATTCATTAATGTATATTATGTGGAAAGTGTAATCAAGGTCATGCTCATACCACTCACTATGGGACAGCAAATACCTTGAGAGGCAACGTGCTGGGGCTAGAAAAGAAAGCCTGCAAATCGAGAATATGGCAGACTACTGTCTCAAAGAACCATCTTTAAGTATGAACTTTAGGCTCCTTTTCATCTGAAGAGAAGAGGAAGGAGGAGGGTTGAGTTGCAAGAGGTAACCAAGGACTTCAGACACCTGGGCATCTGTGAGGGTCAGAGGAGGCTGTAAAACTTCTTTGCTCTTGGTCAGTTAACTTTGAGGGAGGAAGGTCAGGATATTCCTAAAAATCTTTAACATAGCATTGTTGCTCATATGTATGTTTTCCTTATCTCCTTGGGAGTTGTTTTGGAACAGGGACGGTTGTTACCTTTCTTCTAACCTCTGTGCAGAGCTAAGCAGAAGCTTTTAACTGAAAGAATATTACCACAGGGAGTCAGAAGCAAAATGGAGCTAGTTATGGAAAGCTTCCCTTCCATCCTTATAAAAGATCAACAGCAAAAACTACATATCACTGAAGATAACTCAAAAGGATTACAATATTCTTTTAATATATTACTTATTTTTTAAACTGATCCTGGTATGATAAAAAGATCCCTAACTGTGAGTTTGGATCCTGCCCCTAAGGTTTCTACATAATCTTGAGTAAGTTGCTTAAATATTGTGTGCTTGCTTCAGTATCCTCATTTATTAAATAAGGGACTTAGACTAGTAATCTCCAGATGAAACTATCTGATCTTACGACAGTGACTCCCTTTAACCTATTATACTTTCATTGGTGAAGCTAAGAAATACAGAAACATTAGCGAGATAACTGAACTTTATCTGAGGTTTGGGACACCATGGACAACTGCAAAAGACCACTTGCTCACAAATATTCCAAGATAAGACCTATGTCCCTCCTTCCTCATGTCTCCCAGGTGACCCACTGATGACTCCCAGGTGACCCACTGATGACTACCTTGTTAATCTGCCTCTTTGAAATCCCAGGTTCTTCTCCTTGTCTGTAAGACACTCTTCATTTATGAGCATTTTCCCTATTGCAACAGCCTGAATAAAATCATCTCAACTGTCCAGTGCATTTCGTCTTTCACAATATTATTAAATTCCAAGGCTAAGTTTCCAAAATGGGAAGTAGAGCAGGGACGGCATGTTTGCCCTTAAAAATATATATATATTCAAGTCAAGGTTAACTTATGAGGACACTTACTATAATATAATTTTTCCATGAACTTTTTAAGTGCAGAAATATTGATGAGGTTGTGGAAATAACATACAAATGAAGTTCCGACTCCTTTTTCTCTAAGTTTGAGTTGCTCTGCAAAGAGGAAGCTAGGAAGGAATTTCCTAAGTAAGACTCATTTCCGTTCCCATTGCTCTTAAAAGGAATTTCACTTGGAGAGTCTTTGTGATCTGGAAGTCCCTGGGGTTCTTTTGTGTTTGCTGTGCAAGACGGCTCGCTGACAGCCTGGCCAGTAGCTGGTACGGAATGACAGCTCCTCCTGGAGGGAGAAGGTAGGGCTCGAAAGGCACCTTGGCCTTGAAGGGACAGCTTCTTGATGTCTGAAGAAGGACAGAGAGTAGAGTCCTTGGACGGCGTGCTGCTCTCCTGGTGGTACCTGTCAGGTAGAATTTAGCATTAAACATGATATTCAGAATTTAACAGTAAGGAACAAAGAGAACCTGATGGCCCAGTTGCAACAGTTTAAGTCTCTGAAAGGAAATGTTTTCAAGCAGAAGGAACGCTTGCTTAAGAGAAGGGAGTGATTTAACCTCACTGGCTGTTTATTACCCATTGACTAAGGAGATAGGATACAGCAATCTTTTAGTAGACTTTTCTGCTTTCAGAAATAACATACTGCCCAACGTCATACAAAGAGGCATGTTTTATATTGAAAGCATTGTGCCTGTCCTTTCACGGAGCCCCAGTATTCCCACTGAAAGGACTTTTTCATTCTAGTTTTGAGGCCTGTTTGTCCTTTTATTGTGCATTACTAATGGGTCCTATAAAGAAAAGACTTATTCAAATGGAGATATAAAGAGAGATTTTTAAAAAATAGCGTTGTTACCAACCCCAGGGTTCTTGGTCCCCAAGTCAATAGAAATTGGCACGAGATGAAAAAAAGGAATTTATATAGGCAAAGCTGTGGGGTGGGGATTGCTCCAACGAAAGGGAAATAGTGCTCTTTAAGGAGCAACTGGCTCTCCCAACAAAGGGCTGGGGAACTTTTAAAGGGTAGAGAGAGAAAGTTTGATGCCAGCATAGAAATCATAGCATGTAGAGGCAGAGTTTTGTGGGCAGTTGCCCCATCCTTCGCTCATGTTTCTTCATACATTGCATGTCTCCTTAGCATGTTAAACCTCCACCCTTAGCCATGACTTTTAGCATTAAAATGAGACAAAAGGACTCTGAATGGTTAGCTTTGGGCTTTACCCAGGCAGTAACCAGTCTGTGCTGGCTTTGATGGGGGCCGATGGACCCCAGCTCCAAAGGTTGCCCAGTCCTGTTAAAGAAAGCAGAGCTACCTTCTGTTGAAGCTGAGTGTGAATCATCCTCAAAGCTTCTGTTCAGTATTGTAAGCAGACTTAAGCTGTGGCTCAAGGCTCAGGCAGGTAGCCAAAGTCCACCTCCTCCTATACTATCTCAGTGTTTTTCAATTCACCTCTTGCTACTACTCTTCTGATGTTCTAAATATTATCCCAATAGCATCAGCAATTTTTTTCAGAAAAAGTACTGTGTCCCATTCCTTTTCCTTCCCTGTCCTCTCCACCTCACCCCAACGTTTCTCCACTCTGCTGCACAAAGAAGCAAGCTGGAGAATCTAAGAAGTTGCAGAGTAGGATAAGATCTCAATTCCAACCCTAGCTCTGCCACTTAGTGGTTATCTGACCTTTGTTAAAGTTCACGGAGGCTGATGTTTTGGGCCTAGGACCCAGCAGACCAGACTAAAACAGAAAGGAGTCACTTGTGCAAAGGGCCAGCAATCAAACTGAACTTTGAAGCCCAGTTTTCCAGAAAAACTAGGAGATTCCAGTCCACCTGAGTCAGTCATAAAGAAGTCCCCACTGTTTTAACCCTGTAAGGAAAGTAACTTTGAAACGATTGTCAACAGAAAAGAACCCAAACTCTGTAAAATAATGTCAAGAGCTTTATTCTGAGCTGAATATATGTGAGCACGGATGGCCCAGAGAGCTACGCCCAAGAAGCCTCTAGCAAGTGGTCTACCCATGGTTGGGTTATAGTTTGGTTTTATACATTTCAGGAGACAGGATGAAAGTTTAATCTTCTCCTGAGACCAGGGCTTTTGAAATCATCCCCCTCTTGAACTGATTCAATGAAATTTGTACTGTCAGTGACTGAACCTTGACACCAATGGTTTCAGAGTTCAAAGTTCAAAAAAACTGACCTGTGGCCAGAGATCAAAGGGGCAGAAATATGTTCTTTGTTGTTTGTTCTCTATTATCTTAAAAACAGAACTATCTGGGTAAGGATCACAAGATCATAGTCACAAGAGATAGATAGGGTTGGATGGCCCAAGACCAAAAACACCAATTGTCGTTAAGCAACAATAGCCTGAAGCCACCACATGTGACACTGGTCAAATAGGCCTGAGCCCTACTGCAGAAACCCTCCCTTTAAAAAGCCCTGTTTTTTAGACAGGATGGTGGTCTTTTGAGATGTTAGTCTGCTGCCCTCCTCATTTGTCTGCAAGTTAATATACTTCTTTTTCCCTTTCCTCAAACCACTTGTCCCTATTCTTTGTTCTCACTGATTCGGCCTCAGGGACAAGTACTGAACTTTTGGTAACAGTAATTGATATTTTGAGATGCTTTGGCTTTGTTTCTAATAAATTTAACTGATTCTAATTTAAATTTGGCTATGGTTCCTAACACTTTTAAAGTTTTCCTGTCACACTCCAATAGTCTACCCCAAATATATGTGAATGTTTGATAGTCACTTAAATTATGTAAAGGATTCTATTGGTAAATCACTAGGGGTTACAAAAAAGAAAAAGAAAGAAAAAAATATAAATTAAAAAAAAAAAGAAAAAAAAATTATGTAAAAGAGTTTACTATTTAAAAGAAGCCCAGGCGAATCCTGTTTGTGAATTCAATAAACTTGCAATACTAATAGATTAATTAAAAAAACAAAAATATCTGGCTGGAACTGAATATTACTTGTTTGAAATTCAGGAAGCAACCGTTTTTAACTTAATATCTATATGGCAGTTATGAAGTTGTCACAAAACACCTTCTCTTAGGTAATACCGTAAATACTCAATGTTGTATCCAGGATGTGGAGCTCCAAAGTAGGGTTTAAGAACATGCCCTCAAGTAAGCAAATAGCATCTATTAATAACTTCTTGGAGAATACTTGGCATGAGTGTAGTGGCTGGATTCCACCTAAAACCTTGTCCTTTCACTAAATGATTACTTATTCCTCATTTTCTGAATTTTTGTATACAGCACACTGACTGCCCTGATATTATGGAGATGTGGTATATATAAAAGAAAAAATATCCCCATGCCTGCCCAAGTTGTTTATAATTATTGGTAATAATTAGAAAAAGAAAAAAAAAGTAACTTATAGTTGTCAAAGAAGGTAGTGGGGAAGGAAGGAAGGAAGGAAGGAAGGAAGGAAGGGAGGGAGGGAGGGAGGGAGGGAGGGAGGGGAGATGAAGTGTCTATCTTCTATATTGTTCTTGTAGTTGTTTCTATTATTTATTTCATTGATTTCTGCCCTTGTCAGTATACTTTCTTCTTTTCTTTCTTTTTTTTTTTTTGTTTGAGATGGTCTCGCTCTGTCACCCAGGCTGGAGTGCAGTGGTACAATCAAAGCTCACTGTAAGTTCAAACTCCTGGGCTCAAGCAATCTTCCTGCCTCAGCCTGCCAAAGTGGTGAGATTACAAGTGTGAGCCACCATGCCTGGCCTACTTTCTTGTTTCTTTAAGTTGCTCTGTTGACACAGGATTGGCTTGCAGTGGAGGCTTGGGAAAGAGAGTAGCTGAAGTAGAAAAACAGCACTCTTCCATCATTAGTGCAGAAGACAGCTGATACCTGTGCTAAGATTGTCTGATATCTTAGAGTCAGCCCTATTGGGTGTGTCCTAATGTGCTCTGGCATAAAGCCATCGCAGGTGGAACCAAGGCAACTTGATGTTGTGGGAGGAGATTACATGGGCTAACCAAGGTTTCTGTAGGGGTCCTCTGTGGTTTTCAACACACACTACTGGGATAGGGTCGCCACACATTTTCACTAGTTACCACTGAACAAATACAGTGCCTACTGCACTGGTGTAGACACTAGGGACATAGAAGTAAGAAAAAAATGAGTCTCTGTCCTCACAGAGTTTAGATCATGAATGTTGAAATTATTTTGTCTCTGGGGCTAGAGCTACTATCTGGGAAAGACAAGATATTCATGTCTGAAGTAAATATTGAAAGCACCTTATATGAAGAAATCCATGTTTATGTACATTTCTGTTTTCTCATGGCATAAAATCATATGTCACATGACCTATCTTTGCCATATTTAGAGAGTGTTCCTGGGGTAGTCTGTCTTAAAATGTAGACAACCCAATATACATAAAATTCACATAATTTCTGCTTACAGCTCATTGCACAGGACTTGTCATATGGACATCTCTAGTTGCAAGAATATCAAAGAAGGTATAATAGATGTTTTAAACTGAGCACATTGCCATCCCAAACAAAATTGGGATTCAGTTAATAAAGAATGAAAGAATTTGTTTGTTCATTCTGTTTGCTTTTCTAAGTAGATGGTCATAATGGTGTGCAGAAAATGACATTTCTATATTTTTTTCTTAAATACAAATACAACATATTTCTTTTTCGTTCTTTATTGAATTGTCCAGAACTGTCAGTTTTATGTTAAATAGCAACAGTGAGAGTGGCCATCCTTATTCCCTATCTTAAGGAGAATACATATAGATTTTTCTCTAATAAGTATCATCTTTGCTGTAGATTTTGTTATATAAACTTTACCACATTAAGGAATTTCTCTTCCATTCTTAGTTTGCTTTGACTTTTTATCATGATACTGGATTTCATTAAGTGCTTTATTTTACCAATTGAGAAAATCATATGATTTTTCTCCTTTCATCTGTTAATGTAATCAATTACAATAGACTTTGTGACGAGGAATCATCTACACCTTTCTGGGATAAATCTTTCTTAATCATGTTTTTAATATACTATTAGATTCAGTTAAACGTTATTTTATTTAGGATTTTTTTTTTTTTTTTTTTTTAGAAACAGCATCTTGCTCTGTTGTCTAGGCTGGAGTACAGTGCCACAATCACAGCTCACTGCAGCCTTGAACTCCTGGGCTCAAGCGATCCTCCTGCCTCAGCCTCCTGAGTAGCTGGAACTATAGATGCATGCTTCTCCACCGAGCTAATTCTTCTGTTTTATGTAGATATGGGGGTCTTACTCTTGCTCAGGCTGGTCTTGAACTCCTGACCTTAAGTGATCTTCCTGCCTTAGCCTCCCAAAGTGCTAGGATTACAGGTGTGAGCCACTGCTCCCAGCCTTAATTTCCTTTATTATTTTCAGCAGTCTGATAAGGATGTGTCTGGGTGATTTTATCTTGTTTGAG